AAATGTTCGTTTCTGTTACTTTAATGATGACTGTATGTATATTAGATAAATATCGCAGTTTTTGGAGAATGACTGAGAATATCTCAGGTAACGAATTAAACCCAGGTGTGCAGGAAAGCGATGAACTTGCCTGACCATAAGAAACAGGAGAGAATCGAATGTGGTTTTAAGCTCGTCAGAAATAAATAAGATTACATTAATTTGTTAAAGTCACTTATTTTAACGGTTTGGAGAGACTTCGCAACAAGGCTGCAAAGGTCTTTCTTCTCTGGTAATGAACATGCTCACAATATTTTTAAAATGTTCTTTTTCCCTTTACTAAATTGACCTTCACAGATTAAAACATGAGATTTTAAAAACACCTACTTTTGTACTTTTCTGTGGTATAAGATAAGTAGCGTATAATTACATTGTATTTTTTTATGGTTATCCTTTCCTACCAATCAGAAACGGACACACACATAATCGCACTCGCATTACAGGTCGGGTACTCTAAGATCGCATCCATTGCAAGTAAGACCGTCGCATATCGGTCGTAAAAATATTGCTGTCGTGCACCTCTTCCAGTCCTCAGTGTATTTTCGTTGGTTCCGGTAAATTGTAGCTTCTATTGTTTCGAGAAATAGGGGCATTATTTGGATCATTTATGTATTGTTTCGTGAGCCTATAACAAACGGTGTTTGGACAGCTACAGGCCGGCCTATATTTACATCTAGACTTAAAACTCGTGTTAACAATGATTTAGTAATACATAGACAAGTAAAAACAAACGATATAATCTCCCGACGTTTCGGCGACCTCATGACGCCATTATTAAGGGTANCCCAGGTGTGCAGGGAAGCGATGAACTTGCCTGACCATAAGAAACAGGAGAGAATCGAATGTGGTTTTAAGCTCGTCAGAAATAAATAAGATTACATTTTTTGGTTAAAGTCACTTATTTTAACGGTTTGGAGAGACTTCGCAAAGAGGCTGCAATGGTCTTTCTTCTCCGGTAATGAACATGCTCACAATATTTTTAAAATGTTTTTTTCTCTTTACTAAATTGACCTTCACAGATTAAAACATGAGACTTTAAAATCACCTACTTGTGTGCTTTTCTGTGCTATAAGATAAGTAGCATATAATTACGTTGTATTTTTTATGGTTATCCTTTCCTAACAATCAGAAACGGACAGACACATAATCGCACACGCATTACAGGTACTCTAAGATCGCATCCATTGCAAGTAAGACCGTCGCATATCCGTCGTAAAAATGTTGCTTTCGTGCACCTCTTCCAGTCCTCAGTGCATTTTCGTTGGTTGCGGTAAACTGTAGCTTCTATTTATTTGGATCATTTATGTATTGTTTCGTGAGCCCATAACAAACGGTGTTTGGACAGCTACAGGCCAGCCTATATTTACATCTAGACTTAAAACTGCACGAGCTATTAGTTTAAAGCACTTACCAACCACAATGAGTTCAACACGGCTTTTTATCCAAGGAGACAAAACTGATTTAAAATACACTTTACACTCAAATTTCCTTCCATCACTTTGAACAATGTTCCATAATTTAAATGTGGCTTTTCCTGAGAATGTCATTCTACCACTGAAGCCACTGGCTGGCGAAATTTCGAGTTCTTTGTTGACCGTCTTCCTGGCAATTAGTATCTCATCGCCATACATTAAATCCACCCACGTAACTGTTTCTCCATCTGCATCGTAGTCCCATGACAAAAGTAAGGAATTGGCG